AAACGGAGAAAGGATTGAAGCTGTCAAAGACTTCATGTTGCTTGGGTCCACACTCATAGAAGCAGCAGTCAAGAAATTAAACAATGCATTAGACAAATCTGCTGCAAAAAAACCCAAAACTTAATGTTTAAGAGCAAAGACGTAAAATTGAGGACTAAGGTGTGCCTGATCCAAGCCACTGTCTTTGCAAGTTTCATATGCATGTGAAAGTTGTACAATGAATAAGGAAGGTTGTAGAAGAATTGATGCATTTGAGTTATGGTGTTGAAGAAAGTACCATGGACTGTCAGAAGAACGAAGAAATCTTGGAATAAGTACAACCAAAATGCTCTTTAGAAGTGAGGGTGGTAAAACTTTGTCTCCCCTACTTTGGACATGTTGTCCAGAGGAACCAGTCCCTGGAGAAGGACATCCTGCTTGGTAAAGTGGGGGCCAGCGAGAAAGATGATGATCCCCCAGTGAGATGGACTAACAACAGCGGCAGCATGTGGACTCAGTCATAAGGATTGTGAGGAAGTTGCAGGACAGGACTGACCGGGCAGTATTTTGTTTTGATGTGCATGATGGGGTTCCCTGGGGTTGGAAACAACTTGACCACACCTAACAACAACAACAACAACAACAACAACAGTTCGGCTTGGTAATTAAGACATTTAAATACTTGAAACGTATGTAATCTGATGAATGCTAACACATAATATGCCAACTATAGTTTCTTTACAAACGAGTCAGGTGAGACCTAGAGCCAGGTGAGACACAAAATCTCCATATGAAATGAGGAAATGACATCTGATTTTAGATCTTTTAATTTATATACTTTCATGAACATAGGTCAATAGGAAATCCACTTTTCAGATTTTATTTCATCATAGAATATATGTGAGAAGGGCACGTACACAGAAATCCACTGTGAGAACACACTGCTGTCTGCTGGCTGGTTGCTCAGCCCTCTACACAACCCGTGCTGTCGAGTTTGGAGAGTTCAATTCATTGGCTAGCTTATAGCGAGTCGAAATCTTCATACGGGTTTTTTTTTTTTTTTTAAAACTGCTTATTACTCTTGTATTTTAAAATCTGAGATACACTCCCCAATGTAAACAATCAATTTCAATCTGTCACACCATGAGAATGGATAAGGCCTTCTGGACAAATTTACACCACCTACGGTTGGTTTACTCGACAGAACACAATCTTGCTCCATATGGGGAAGAAGTGCTTGGGCATACTTCCTGGGGCAGGTACACTTAAAAGTTATCTTTCTGACTTGGTCTACACTTGGTCTTAAAATACAAATATACAATGTCCATAAGCATAGAACAGTAAAGCCTAGCCTTACGTGTTGATTATGAATCGCTAAAACCCTATACAAGTACAATATCGTATCATGCCGATTTACAATACAGAGGGCGGTGGTTCAATGCCTGGACCATTTAAGCAAAGGGCGGAAGGGAATGCCATCCAGGTGTTCAGAGGCTGGCTGCACGTGATTGGGTAGGGCTGCCCCACTGAAATATTTCTCAATCTGCAGTAGTAGCTGCTTAATACAAGAACAATATGACAACCTCTTTTTCACCGGCCTCCCGGAGGGAGACTTCAATGACACCTTAGTAAATACAATCAAACTGAGTCTTTCTCTCTCTCTCTCTCTCTCTGTTTTTCTTTTTTGCATCTCCTGATCCACTGTGCAAATCAGTTATTCGTTTCCTTCTCAATCGGTTTATCCTCTTAGGACCCATTAATCACCAGTGACCCTGGTTCAGTACCTCATCATTATCATAAATATTTGCCTTAGCAAGCTAAATGTGAAAGAGCCAAGACTATATACAGTATTTTAGAAGGCATTCTGTGACAGTTGCAGAGTTCATAGAAAAGTTAGCAAGTATATACCAGCTCCTTCGGTTGGTACAGTGTAAACCTTGGCGGCTTTGTTTCTATTAAATTGTACAACCCAAGAGAACACGAAGTGTTTATCAACGTGACATCAATGACTCTCTGGGCTAAGGTAACTGGGACAGGGCATCGTGTTTTTTTCCTGAGGTTTGTAAGAATTTTTCCAATGAAACAGAAATCACAGTGGCCCAGCGAAATGTGAGTCTGTGTCTTCAGGGGCGGTGGCAGGGGAGGCGGTACCCTGAGCCCCTGCCCCCACATCCATCAGGGACTAAATGACCCGCCACTGCATGATGCTGGTGTCCTTGCCGCCCGTGGAGATAAGGTGGCTGTCTGCGTAAAGGAAATGAACGTTGGTCACATGACTGCTGTGGCCCCCATATGCATAGCTTGGCGCCTGGAAAGGAATGACAGAGAGAAAAAAATTTTGTGCAAAGTAGATGAGGCCTGGCTAGCGAGTGTTCTGACCAGGGCTACAAGTGGACCCTGATAACACGGAACAGGATTCAGATTCTTAAAAACACTTCCTGGACCACTGGAGATGGGAGGGCACCCTGAGATCGTCTTTAATCCTGAACCGAAACTATTCCCTGAGGTCACCATTTGACTAAATGACAGATTGGCTCATAATCACTCTACAGCCAAGACGAGGGCAGAGGGCAGAGGGACAATGAGTTTGGAATGAAAATGCTGACATACTCGAATGGAATCCATGACACCGCAGAAACTGTTACATGGGAATGCGTGAAACTGCTCACTGAAAACACAACTGTCTGTTTCACTGATTACTGCTGTCAAGTTGGGTCTGATTCATAGCGGCTGGTGATTTGAACCTCCAACCTTGCTGTTCAAACTGACTTTGCGGTCCAGTGCTAACCCTTACAGCGCCACACATTATTATTTTTTTTAAAAAAGCTTAGTAAGAGGTGAGCATTTGGTGAATGACGATGCACGGAGGAGACTGTAATCATTGCAATGAAAAAATGAGTGTAAAACCGATGTTCTCCCATGTAAACAAACTATCACTCAATTCACAATAAACACTTAAAGAAAAAAAGAAGTGAGTATTTGGGATTGGGAAGCGCTTGTATTCTGGAGTCATTTTTCAACTCCTGTGATCCACAGCTTCCGTTGAGATCAGGTACTGGGGTGCCTCCACCTAACGGTGTGCCCAGAGGAGGGCTGAGCGTGAAGGGGGATCAGGCTCTGAAAAGATGATAAAGGGGGGAGATGGAGGAAGCAGCGGGATCCTAGAAGCTACGGTGGTGGAGGACAGGTCAGGAGCCTAGACTGCCCGGGGCAGTGAGGGTGCCGGATGGTTCACAGTTCTGCCGGGAACACACACTCTCAGTACATTTCTATTCAATGGCCACAGGTGACCAGGGTGCAGAGCCGGGGCAACAAGAGCCTCACCCTGAACTGGGAGCAGGGGCAGGAGAACAGGTGCACTTTGCCAAAGTCGTCTCCAGTTGACAGAAGCTTCTTCTCGTGCGCCCGGCAGACGGCGTTGATGTCGGTACCGTCGGAACCTTCCGGCCACACTCCTGCAATGAAGACCTCAGTAAGATGCAGGAACATGGGGCCAAACCTCAAGGGGCCACCGAAGCCCTGGCGGCTTGGGGAGCATGCCCTCGGGTTTCAGGCAGCAGCAGAGCCACTGACCAGACTCTGAGAAGGTTTCAAAGTTCTGAAAGAAAAACTGTAAAGCTGGTTTATTTCATGCTTGAACCAAAGAATCTGCAGCAGACATACCAAAGACATGGAGCATACCAAAGACATGGAACCTACCAAACACATGGAACATACCAAACAGACATACCAAAGACATGGAGCATACCAAAGACATGGAACCTACCAAACACATGGAACATACCAAAGACATGGAACATACCAAACACATGGAACATACCAAACACATGGAACCCCAACGTGCAGGTGTACGTAGCCCACTCAATGTCTCTCGTTGTTTCCACACTTACGACCTGCTTACAAGCCGATGGGACCCCTGGGAAAGGGAAACACAGGTTTGGTGACATCGGAGCCACATCAGGGTGACATGTTCCTTCTCCCCCTCTCACCTTCCCTCCCAAGGAAGGCCGAGCCACAGAGCTGTCCCTCCACTCTCCCCCAGGGAAGGCTGATCCCCCAGAGCTGCCCTTCCACTCGCTCCCCCAGAGCCTCCCCCTGCAGCTACAGAGCTCTCCAGGAAGAGCACCTTCACCCCCCAGCCACGGAGAACTGCCAGCTCGCCTGGGTCTGACTCGTGTCCTTCCTCTGGTACCTAGGTCTCTGGGTTCCCCGATACAACTCCACATTCTGCTGCCAGGTGTCCCATCCCTCAAACCCAAACACCTCCTCCTACAGAAACACATCTCCCCCACATAAATACTCCCATAGAAAAACTACACATACCCCCCACATAAATACAGCTGTTCCAGCCATCACAACACACAACCACCACACCTCCTCTAGTCCCCTCAGTTCCGAGTTACGAACTGTGCAGAGCCCGGGCCCACCAAGGCCCCAGGTGGATTGTTTATTGTGTAAATGAGCTCTCACTAGTGGAAGCTGAGCGAACTCCAGCCCCAGGACTGTCCATGAAGGCCAGCAGAAGCTTGGAGAAGGAGGAACGAGGTGACCATTGTGTGTGTGTTAGTTAGGGGACGTGCTGTAATAGACCCACAGCCTTGGCTGTCTGGGGTTCATCGGTAAGTGACATGTCCCATGTAAGTGTGGTTCCTGAGCCCCAGTCTACTCATCAGTGAAGGGAAAGCTGCAGGTGAGAGAAAATGCAGGTAAGGATAGCTCATGGGTGGAGCCAACCTCGCTGGCCCTGTAGACCTGGGCTTAGCCTTGAGCTTGGCACTTTAGGGGCTTGGCCGATGTTTGGGAATCTGCGGATGGCTCAGTAAGTGCCAGTCTCTCATCCTCAGGGTCCCCAGGTCTTGTGTGGGGATGGAGACTGGAAAGAGGGGTCAGGAGGGTAGGAGGAAGGTGCTGGGACACCAGGGTCTCACCTGCTCAGGACCCCTCACCTGATGGTTTTCATATTCCCTCTTTCTGCCCCATCTGCCTACCTCCAGCCTTCCCTGTGGGGCCCTGCCTCTTTCCCCCCTAGAAGGAAGCCGGATGAGCCTGGTACCCCTGGGACCTAGGGTAGGTAGAACTAGTCTTTTCCACCTTGGGGTGAACCATCTTCTTTCCTGGGGCCTACGGCCAGTCCAGACCTAAAGTATTTCAGTGCTAGGAAGTACCAAATACACCCAATTTATAGAGGAGAAAACTGAGGCCCAGAGACGGCACCACATGGCCAGCACACAGTTATAGAGGCCGCGTGTCATGTGACCCTGACAAATCCTAAAGAGCTACTTACAGTACAGGATTTCATAGTCTCCTGAATTGGACACGAGGAACTGCGAGTTTACTGACCAGTCCAAGTGGGTGATGAAGCTGGAGTGGCCCTGAGGACAGAGGACCACCATGAGTTCAGGCCCCTCCTAGATTCCCGACCCTGAGGGGAGGCGGTGCAGCGAGTGCATCTCTAGTCACGGAAGGACAGAGGACCACCATGAGTTCACGCCCCTCCTAGATTCCCAACCCTGAGGGGAGGCGGTGCAGGGGGCGTGTCCCAAGTCAAGAAAGGCCACAGGATACTTACTGAGCACTTGCCGATGCGGCTGTACTTTCTCCCGTTGTCGCTGACACCATAGATGTAGATACAGTTGTCATGGGAGCCTATAGCCAGGAAATTCCCATCTACAAACACAGAAGCGTGGACAGCTCAACGGGACAGGAAGCGTCAGTTACAAAGGCTAGGGCTAGCTACCATCGCAGATTGAGAGAAAATAGCTCCCTAAATTGATTCTGGGTTCTTTCAAAGGTTACGTTCTGCTGTGAGTGAATCTCCCCCCCTCCCAGCCCTGCCCATTACAGCTACCTCCTGAGGACGCACATCTGATGGACTGGCAGGCCTCCGATGGAGCTCTTCTCTCGTAGGTCCCACTGGCTGCAGGGCTGAGATTCAACTCTGGGGAATGGCCCCATCCATTGTCCCCAACACCTGAGGGCCTTTCCTGCCTGAAACAGGCTCCACTCTCACCCAGGGGCCATCACTGCCATCCTCCCCCATGTTGTTGTCGTTAAGTGCCGTCAAGTGGTCATTTCTGACTCATAGCAACCCTGCATAGGGTTTCCAATGAGCGGCAGGTGGGTTTGAGCCGCTGCTTATCCTACAGCACCCACCAGGATTCCACTAAAGTGACATCAAAAGGACTGTGGAATTCAGGGATGAAACACTCCAGCTCTGGGGTCCAACTGCCTGAGTTTGAATCGCAGCATTTGTAAAGCCTTGTGACTTCAGCCAAGTTACTTTCCCATACGATGCCTCAGTTTCCTCTCCTGGAAAATGGGGATAATAATATCTTTCCCGTAGGTATGAGGAAGCTGGACAGTGAATAAGGAAGACCTGTGAAGAATGGACGCCTGGGTGTTGGAAAAGAAAGCCATGGACTGCCAGAAGAACAAACAAATTTGGGTTGGAGAAATACAGCCAGAGTGCTGCTTAGATGAAAGGCTGGTGAGTCTAAGTCTCACGCCATTGAACATACTATCAGGAGGCATGGGTTCCTAGAGGAGATCATGATGCTTGGTCAAGTAAGAGAGTCAACAAAAAAGAGGAAGACCCCCCCCCCCCCAACAAGATGGACTGACAGAGTGGCTGCACCAATGGGCTCAAACATGGGAAAGTGTGTAAGGATGGTGCAGGACTGGGCAGTGTTTCGTTCTGTTGTACAAAGGGTCGCAATGAGTCGGAACTGACCCATAGCACCTGAAAACAAGAGCATCTGTCCCATAGGGTGGTTATGAGAAAAACGCACTGTGTCTGGAGGCTGGGTCCCTATAGCAGAAGAACCTCAAAAAGTGACATCATCAACTGGTTGGTTCCCTAAATAGGAAGGGCTCGTTCACGATGGGGCCATTTGCTGTTTAACAAACAGGTGGAGGATATAACTGGCTCATTATTTAAGTGAGGAAATGTCAAGTTAGAGCAGTACCTCACCTACTCCCATCACTGAGGTATAATATACAATGAAATGCACACATTTTAAGTGTAGAGTTGAAAAGGTTTTGCTAAACATACATAAAAATGTAACAAAAGTAACCCACTGCCTTTGAATTGATTCTGACTCATAGTGACCCTGCATAGGGTTTTGGAAGCTGTAAATCTTTACAGAATAAGTCTTATTTTCCTCTTGTACAGTGATTGGTGGGCTTTAAATATTGACTTTGCAGTTAGCAGTCCAATGCTTACCATACAGAGCCACCACAGCTCCTTAAAATATATATGAGGGGCTTCAAAAAGTTCATGGAAACATGGAATTAAAAGACAAAAGATGAAGACAGAGATGAAGGCATGGAGAAATAAAAGCAGCTGAGGGCTCTAGACTCATGGAAAGAGAAAGGCTGTGTGCTGGCGGCCAGGAGGCAGGCTTGCAGAATGTGCCCTTGGGTTGTGTAAATGAGTATATATTCCTATATGTTGTGTACATCCAGAAACAAACAGGGGGAATAGAAGCAAATACTGTTGAATTAGGATGCACGGAGGGGACTAATCATTGCAATGAAACGATGAATGTAAAACTGATGTTCCCCCATGTAAAATTATCACTCAATTCACAATTTAAAATTAAAAAAAAAAAAAAAGAAAAGATAATGGAATTTTTCCATGAGCTTTTAGAAGACCCCTCATAGCCCCATGTATATACCAGAATCAGAAATATATCTATATAACCGTGATGTTCCTTAGAAGCAAGATGGCGAGACTTTGTCATGCTCACTGTGGACAGACCATCAGGAAGGAACAGTCGCTAGAAAAGGACATCGTGGTTGGTAGCACAGATGGTCAGTGAAAATGAGGAAGCCCTCCTCTGAGATGGGTGGACACAGTGGACACCGACAATGGGCTCAAGCATGCTCAGGACGGCGAGGCTGGCACGGGACCAGGAAATACCTCATTTTGTTGTACATCTCGGAGTCCTGAATCGCAGCCCACTCCACAGCCAGTAACCACCACTGCCATCCTTGGCTCCGTATTTAAAACCCAAACTCAGTGCTGTCAAGTCAACTGACTTGCAGCAACTCCAACATGAGAGTAGACCCACCCCCTGGGATTTCTGAGTGGGACCGTCAGTCTTTATGGGAGCAGACATCTTTGTCCCACGGAGCGGCTGGTGGGTTCAAGCTACCAACCTTTGGGTGAGCAGCCAAGCGCTTCACCACTGTGCCACCAGTATCCTTAGGTTTTTAAGGATGAATGAAAAGTCAGATTTCAGTTTCCCTTGGCAACCCATTTCTATCTTGGACAGCCTTAATGAGACTGCAATTCCTCTTTGGAATTCCCATCAAACGTCTTCATGTAGCCATTGAGGTCACTGCTGACTGGAGAAACAATGTAGAGGGACAGCCCAGAGTCCCAGGCTTTTGAAGAGTGCATGGGGAGACTGGGTCCTCGAGACGCCCCCTGACGCCCTTTCCCCCTTCCCCCACCGAGGTCTCCAGCTGAATTTCTGCCTCCCCTCTTACTTCTAGTCTGGGTCTGCAGTAGCCAGCAGTGAACAGACACCCAGGGTCCAGGAAGACCAAGACCAGGAAGACCAGTACACCAGGTTCAGGGGACAAGGTGCTTGTCCTCAGAGAAAGGGTCACTCAGTCCAGAGCCCGGGACACGCCCTAATGAAAGACAGCTGACTTCTCCAAATGACTGCCCTTGTTTCCTCAGCACCAACCCTACTGCGACTGCCCAGGGACAAGCAGGGAGACGTGGAGTCTGAGGTCAGAACACCAGGTTCAAATCCTAACTCTTTTGCCTACGTTCATTCATGAATCTATGAACAGACAGCCCTTGGAGACTGCAGGCTTGGGTCCAGACCACTGCAATAAAGTGAACATGGTAATGCAGAGGCTGGTGGTAGGCCGTGGAGTCGGTTCCAACTCATAGCCACCCTGCATAGGGTTTCCAAGGCTGTAAACGTTTATGGGAGCAGAAAGTCTTATCTTCCTCTCACAGAGCGGCTGGTAGATTCAAACTGCTGACCTGACAGTTAGCAGCCCAACATGTAACCCACTATGCTATCAGGGTTTCTCAGCAATATATCAACTCATGGGTTATTTGGGTTTACTAGCTGTGGGTTGGAACTGACTAGATAGCAGTTAACAGCGGCAACATAACCCTTTAAAGTGTTGACGAGCAAAGATGTCAGCTTGAGGACTAAGGTGTGCCTGACCCAAGCCATGGTATTTTCAATAACCTCATATGCATGTGAAAGCTGGACAGTGAATAAGGAAGACCGTAGAAGAACTGATGCTTTTGAGTTATGGTGTTGGAGGAGACTATTGAAAATGCCATGGACTGCCAAAAGAACCAACAGATCTGTGTTGGAAGAAGTGCAACCAGAGTGCTCCTTAGAAGCCAGGATGGTCAAACTTTGTCTCTCATACTTCGGACAAGTTATCAGGAGGGACCAGTTGCTGGAGAGGGACATCATATTTGGTAAAGTGGAGGGTCAGCGAAAAAGAGAAAGACCCCCGACAAGAAGGCCCGGCACAGTGGCAGCAGCAGTGGGCTCCAGCATAGCCGTGATGGTGAGGCTGTTGCAGGAATGGGCAGCTCCGTTCTCACTGATTGTTGAGTTGGAATTGGCTTGATGGCCTTAACCATCACCATAAAGCAAGGCTGACACGAGACGGTCAACTATGGAGTGTGCAGCACCACTCCAGACGTGTTTCTAACAGTGTGGGAGGACACAGACACCAGAAGTTGAGCTTGTGCGGTTGGAAGAATGGCGCCAGCAGACTTTGCTCGGTGCGGGGTTGCCACAGAGCTGCAAGTTGTGAAAGGCACGCTATCTGCGAAGTGCCGCAGAATGAGGTGTGCCTGCAAGCCTGGACTGCCCGCCTAAATGAATAAATAACCATGTTCTACAGCGGGACTAAGAAGCTCTGGTAGCATAGTAATTACGAGTCGGGCTGCCAACCTCAAGGTCAGCAGTTTGAAACTACCAACAGTTCCACAGGAGAAAGAGGAAGCATTCTGCTCCCATAAAGATTTACAGCCTCTGAAACCCTGTGCAGGGTCACTATGAGTCGGAACCGACTCCACGATACTTAACAACAACAAGGGCTGAACTGCGAAGTCGGCTCGAACTGCAAGGTCAGTGGTTCAAGCTCACCAGTCACTTCTTGGAAACCCTATACAGGGTCGCTATGGGTCAGGATTGACTTGATGGCACTTAACAACAACAACAACAGTCAAGACGTTCACCAGAAAGAGGCAAGAGAGACCCGTTGCTGCAGGTGGTGATACCACGGGAATCAGAGGAGAACCGTGCTCCATAGAGTGTTCAATGGCTGGTTCCGTGCCTGGTCTTTCTTGGGAGGCATTTCTGGGTGACCTAGAACTGCCTACTTCTGGTTATCAGTGAAGAAAACACTTCATCGTTTGTACCACCCAGGTTGCTCAGTGCCCAAAGAATCAGGAAATGATCTGGAAGCTGTAAGGTCTCAATCCTGCTGCCCATGTTTCTGACAACACAGTTTCGTTTTCTGAGGCAACTGCCCAGCCCCATACCCCCAACACTTCTAACTCCAACAAAGAACTTGCTTGGCCAAGCAGCCCCAATTGATCCTGAAGCTTGGCTGCTAACCCAGTCTCTGCCATCCATTGATCGGTGTCTGCCTGTTTCACCGAGTCAAAAGTGGCCTTGTTTACCCTGGTTGGGGGCCTGCCAGCTGGGGCTCACGGGTTCTTCCCAGCATCCTGAGGGTCGGCTTCTTTTAGAAAACTTCGAGTCATGAGTTTACCCTCTAGCACCTCCCACACCACCCGGAGCCTTCATGATGCGCAGAGAATATCAGATTTATCAAAGAGCCTCACGATCCAGCCCTTCACATCCCTGGATGAAGGGATATAGTTCAGGCTGACATTTTAATAGAATTCTCCTATAATTCCATGTCTGTGGCCAACTATGTATAGGGAAAGGGGAGGTACGGATCTACTGCTTTTTACATTTTAATTTAAGAAGCTACAAATACTGGAATTCCAAAGAAACCAGTCGTTTCTAACGGTACCCATCTGGGTGGTACAAATGATCTGTGCTCGGCCACTGACCTGAAGCTTGGTGGTGAGAACGCAGATAGGCCTGGTGAACCGCTTCTGAAGAGATGTCAACAGTTTCACCCTGTACCACACGGGGGCGCCATCACTTGGCAGCTGCTGACAGCAACGTGTGGTACTCACCATGTTGAGGACACTAGTCATTGAGCTGACTTTGACTCAGCGACCCCATGACCCTATGTTATTGTTAAATGCTATCGGGTTGGTTCTGACTCACAGCGACCCTGTATAGGGCTTCTGAGGATTAGTTGCTGGTTCCTAGTCCAGGGCTGATGCTACAGCACCACACCAGGAGTCCAGCTAGGACAAAGTATAATCTTTATGGAAGCTGACTGTTACACTTTTCTCCCACAGAGAAGTGATCGGTTTGAACCCTGACCTTTTGGTTTGCAGCTGAGTACTTAACCACTGTGCCACCAAGGTTTCTGAAACATCAAATCCACTTAAATTCATAATGATACAAAACCCACCACCACCACCAGATGGCACTGTGAGGAGAACTCAACTCACTCATTTGTACATTGGTAAATAAACTCCAAGAAACCAAGCATGTATTATAACTTTCCTAGATTGTGGTGCTGTGGGATAAAGTACTAGACCACAAAGTGGGTTTGAACCCCAAGGGTAGCAGTTCAAACTCCTTGGAAATCCTATACTGAGTCACTGTGAGTGGGGACCCTATTGAGGACACTTAACAACATCACTTTTACCATTCAGTAGCAAAGTAAAGAGATGAAAAGATGCTTTTTGTTACAATGTTGTATCCAATCAGTGGAATAGAGAAGCTAAAACTGGAATGTCAATAGTTCCCAGCCCCTCAGGGATCTAAGATGGGAGAAAGATGAGGCTTTCTGCTCTTGTGAATATTTAAAGTCCCTGCAATCCTACACAGGGTCACTATGAGGTGGAATCAAGTGACAGCACTTGACCCTAACAAGGATCTAGGCATTGAGCATCAGAAATTGCCAATACCACCCCCAAAAAGAGACACACACAAGCAGATCTGTGGTTTCTGTAAGAAGAAAACTTTACACACATGGAATGTGAACATGAGCAAACCTCTAGGTCCAAAAATCATCTTACAGGAAAGACAGACAAGGGAGAGACAGGAACTTTCTACACAGAGCCAGGGAGACACATTCAGCAAACTCCAGATTGGAAATTGCTACAGGAAGAATGAGCCAGTTTCTCTAACACACAAATTGCCAAGGGAAGGAGGGAAAGAAGGAGCGTGAGAGAGAACATCTATTAAAAGACATGTCAGCCAATGACCATGTGTGGACCTTTTTTTGGGATGCTGATCGAAACAAATTGCTAAGAAATGAGTCATGTTCCTAGCAGTGTTATTTTTAATAGAGAACAACTAGAAAGAGTGTAAATGACCATTAGCTGATGAATGGTCCACCAAAGAGCTGTGGATGAAACGCTGTTTGGTTCTGCATCTTCCTCACAACTATTGCTGTGTTTGAGTCCTTCCGGCAGCCACCGTGTCACTCCATACAGTGGAAGACTACGCAACAATGAAGTCTTGGAACACGCAATAATGCGCATTAATCTAAACACAAGATTCTAAGTGAAACCAGATTCAGCAGAGGACAGGCACGCTGAATGACTCGACTGAGCTGTAATGTCCAGAAAGGGCAATTTAAGGAGATCAGTGGTTGTCTTGTGCTAGGGGAGGGGATGGAGAGTAACAGCTAATTAATCATCAACAGGGGACTTTCTATCATTAATAATACCAACTGAGACTGTCAAACAGTTCCATCTTTCCACCACAGAGTGGATGCTGGGTTTGAACCGATGACTTTGAAGTTAGCAGTCTGATGTTTAACACACTGTGTCACTAAGTCTTCTTCTGGGGCAATAGAGAGATTCTAAAACTGGGTTGTGGTGATGGGCATAAAACTCTACGGGTTTACTAAAACTGTACATTTACAATAGCTGAGTTACTGATTTACTTCTAATTGCAAGGTCACCGGTTCAAATACACCAGCTGCTCCTGAAAAAAACTAAACAGGGTCACCATGAGTTGGAACTGACTCAACGGCACGTAACAACAACAACAATAACAAAGCTGTTAAAAAAGGAGTCTTCCGCATTTTTACAGATCAAAACTGCAGTATTTGGCATCCTGGTATGGCACTGTATGGACAAGCATTGGCTGGCAACCACAAGGTTGGTGGTTCAAACCCACCAGGCACTCTTTGGAAACTCTATACGGGGTTGCTATGAGTTAAACCCGATTCGACAGCACTTAACAAGAACAACAAGATGGCAATATTTACCGATAAAAAGTGTCTTTAACGGCCCTGGTGGGGCAAATGGACACCGTGCTCAGCTGCCCCCTAAAAGGAAAGGTGGTTCAAACCCACCCAGAGTTTCTCTCTGGGAGGGGGGAAGGCATGGCAGTGTGGGTCTGTAAAGTTGACAGCCAAGAAAACCCTATGGGACAGTTTCAGTCTGTCCCATGCGCTGACTCAGAGACACCCAACCACAGGAGCCGTGGGTGGGGTTACAGAACAAACCCAGCTAAGAGTGGGTTACCACTGAACCCGGGGGGATGGGTACACGGGCCTCATCATGTTATAGTCTAGTTTTGTCTAGGTTTGAAACATCCCATAATAAAAACTTGGCATGCTAGCTCAGTCTGGTTACATGAAAAAGTAAAGCAAAGAACAGAGGATCCCCTAACTGCACAAGTGTGTGCACGTGTAAATCCAACTCCACTCTGAGAAGGCCTGTGGAGTTTTCTCCTCTCAAACGTCTACACAGAGTTCTACTGGGATCACGACGAACGGTTTGTGGTCCAACCTGGTGAGTAACGTATTACAGACAGCTGCTCGTTCCCATCTGTGTGGACGGTGACCAAATCCTTTGTTTCCGTGTCAAACACAAACCACCTGTTGTAAACGTGAGAAGAAGTTGTTTAGTGAGAAAATGAAGGCCGTCCAATGCGCCAAAAGGAAGACTATTCAGAACAGTGGGTCACAGGTGCTTAATAAATACGTGGTGCATTCATCAGGCTTAGTAAGAAATGCATGCCCGACTCTCACTCAAAGAAGGGTTGCTACATACGCTCCCTATGAAAGGCAGGGTGTACTTGTGACCATTCAAAACCACCTGGGTATCGACGCTAGGGCAAGTTTTTGCAGCGTTGGGGTTTTGTTACTGACACGTACAAGGAGAGGAAACCCTGGGCACCTGGGATGAACCACAGCCAAGGAGCTCTAGAAAGAGCTTACGTCAGGCTTTCACACAGGGCTGGGTGCTACAAGTGGGCTTCCAAAGTTCATGGGAAAATGAAGCGGAAACATACTGGAATTCTCCCACAAACTTTCTGAAGCCTCATTGTATAAATATGGGTGGTAAGAGCAACTAGAAAAAAGTTTTGAAAAGCTCAGAGCTGTCGACTGTAAAGTGGGGTCGCTCCCTGGCCTCCAGAGACGCTTTAAAGAAAGTCTTGGGGAGCTCTGTGCCTGCACCTCTGTGTGTGTGTGTATGGTGGGTGTGCATGGTTGTGTGTATGGGTGTGCATGTGTGTGTGGGCATGTATGTATATGGGTGTGCCTAGCATATATCTGGGTTTGCATATGTATGTACATGCATGTAAGAGGCAGGGGTATATATCTGCACATAAGGGTGTGTATGTGTGTGAACATGCATATATGTATGGGGACGTGTGAGTGTATATATGTGTGTGTGGTAGGGATGTATATGTGTGTATACATGGGTATGTGTGTATGGGCAAGTATGTGTATGTGGCAGGGATATTTATGGGTGGTGTACATATTGTCAGGAGGGACCAGTCGCTGGAGAAGGATATCATGTTTGGTAAGGTGGAGGGTCAGAGAAAAAGAGGAAGACCCCCAGCGAGATGGATTGGCCAAGTGGCAGCATCGATGGATTCAAGCGTGGCAACAGTAGTGAGGTTTGCTCAGGATTGGGCAGTGTTTCATTCTGCTGTGCATAAAGTCGCTATGAGTCAGTACCGACTCGATGGCACCTGACAACAACATGTGTCTATATGGGTATGTATGTGTTTGAATGTGTGTACGTGTGTGGCAGGGATGTATATGTGTGTATATGTGGGCATGCTTGTGGGCATGTATATGTATGGGTGTGTGTCTCTATGTGTATATGTGTCTCTCTGTGTATGTGTGTGTGTGTGGCAGGGATACGTATGGGTGTGTGTCCATATGTGTATATGTGTGTATATTGTTGTTGTTATTAAGTGCTGTCGAGTCAGTTCAGTTCTGACCCATAGCGACCCTGAACAGGGTTTCTGAGGCTGTAAATCTTTATGGGAGTAGAAAGTCTCACCTTTCTCCCACAAAGCAGCTGGTAGTTTCGAACTGCTGACCTTGCGGTTCGCAGCCCGATTTGTAACCAATATAGGGGGATGTATATGTATGGGTGTGGCGCTGTGGGCTAATGCACCAGACTGCAAGCTGCTCCTTGGAAACCCTATATAGGGTCGCTATGGGTCAGAATGGACTCGACAGCACTTAACAACAACATATGTATGGGTGTGTCTGTGTGTATATATGGGTGGGGATATGTATGGTGTGTATGTGTTTCTATGTGTACATGTGTGTGGCTTTGTGCATGCGTGTGTGGACATGTATATGTGGTGGGGCTATGTATGCTGTGCATGTGTTTCGATGTGTACATGTATATGGTGGGGATAGGTATGCGCTGTATGTGTTTTTATGTGTACACACATGTGGGTGTTCACATGTATGTGTGTGGCGGGGCTATGTATGGTGTGCATGTGTTTCTGTGTGTACATGTCTGTGCCTGTGTGCATGTATAATATGCACCTTTCTACAAAGGAGGGTCTGTAATTGTCCCTTCTATTCCCCAAAGTCAAAACCATGAAAACCACCGTTTCATGTTCTAGTTAATTCTTGGGAAAGGCATTAGAAGATACAGCTGAGAGCTGAGCTGGGCCTATTACTGAAGCTTTGAAAATGCAGATCATACTGTCTTGACTTACCTTCCAGTTAGGGTTCCAACAGCAACCACAGACCCTGAAGGATGAAAACCAGAAGACTGAGCTGGATCCTAAAATATGTTAAAGGAAGTGTCAATTGACAGCAGACACAACTTTATAGCATAAACACAAGCACAGCTCTACCTGTCGGAACACATAGCTCACCTGAGAGCCTCTTCTCAGGGGAGAACGTGTTCTTTCTACGGGGAGGACTGCCAATCATACTTCCTTCCTATCCGATCAGAACTGTCTCTCTCCTAGTCTTAAATCCCTTCATCTCTGTATCAGTCGGATGGAGGACAGTTAAGTACCTGTTACTCTTCCCAATCATGGTCAATATGGGCAGCCCCTTTGGTTGACCCCTCAATGCCCATTACAGCACATCTTGGACCACAGTGAATATCACAGTAAAGTGAGTCACATGGCCTTTAGGTTTGGTTCTGGTTTCCTAGTGCAGCTAGGACTCCTGGTGTGGCGCTGTAGGATCAGCACTAGACTGTGAACCACAGGTCAGCAGTTCAAACCCACCAGCTGCCCCCTGGAAGCCCTATACAGGGTTGTTATGAGTCAGAATCGACTCGACAGCACTTAACAACAGCAAGTTCTATCCTAACACATCATATAAGACAAACCCACTGGCGTGGCGCTGTAAGATAGGCACTGGATCATGTCGGCTTGAACTGCAAGGCTTGACAGCACTTAACAACAACACAATTGTGGATAAGGAGTCCTGGTGTGGTGCTGCAGGATACACACTGGACTGTTAGCCAACCGCAAGGTTGATGGTTCAAACCCACCCACTGTTCTTTGAAAACCCTATCCACAGTCGCTAGGATTCAGAACTGACTCGATGTTAACTAGCACTTAACATCAACACAACAACAGTGCAGATGAATGTTTAAGCTAGACTGTCATCTATGAAGAGTGCAGCTGTTGTTGTTGTCAAGTGTCATCGAGTCGGTTCCAATTTCTAGCAACGCTGTCTAGGGTTTCTGAAGAGCGGCTGATGAGTTTGAACCCCCGACTTTGCGGTTACAAGCGACCTTGCAGTCCAGTGCATTAACCCACAGCACCACACCAGTGGGCAGGAGCATGACGAACATGTTTGAAATCATGTAAGAATGATCAAAATGTAACACAGAGACACAAAGCAAGCACATACTATTAGGGAACTGGTCCCTGATGCAGGGTGGCCACAAGCCCCTAATTTATTAAAACAAAACAAAACAAAAAAAACCTCTGGTATCTGTGAACTACAATTAAGTGAAGCACAATAAAACAAGGACCTCTGTCTGGACATGTGACCACTGCACCCGATTCCCGTCTGCAGATAAAGGTGAGGGCACAGTGAGGACAAGACACAATGGGGTCCCTGGAAGGATCCCAAGAAGATGAGCAGGCACAAACTACCATTCGTGGGGTACACACATGCTTGTTACTAAGTGGTACAAGATGGAGCCTGTGGGATGAACGCCATCAAAGGGGAGGGAGAGAGAAAGAGACTGGGAGACACACGAAGGCTTCATGGTGGCGAGAATTTTTATCCGACTCACACTTTCCAGGGAGAACTGATTGGAGAAGGTGGGAAGTGGGTGTTCCAGATTTTTTTTGGATTGGGGTTTTATGGGTTGACTTGTGTCCCCTGAAAAGGCATGTTGAAGTCCTAATCCCAGTACCTATAACTGTAATCTTGACTGGAAATAGGGTCTTTGAAGATGATGCCCATTATATGCGTGCTATTCTGGTCCTGGTGTGGTGCTGTGGGTTAATGCACTGGACTGCAAAGTCAGTCTGAAATGCCAGGTTGGTGGTTCAAGATCACAAGCAGTTCCCCGGAAACCCTATTCACAGGGTCGTTAAGGGTTCAAACGGACTCAATGGCACTTAGCAACAATTCTTAGAAAAGAGAAGACACACAGGGACAGGGAGGCAGAGGATGCCACCGCTGCAAGAGAGGCCCGGGGCCTCTTCTCTCAGAGACTCGGAAGAATCAACATGGTGGACGTCAAACTGGCCGACACCTTGACTGCTGACCCTCAGGCTCTGAAGCTTTGAGACATTTCTGCTCTTGCAAGTCATCTGTTATGGATTGGACTGTGTCCCACAAATACATGCAAACTTGGCTAGGGCATAATTCTCAGTATTCTGTAATGTGTTCTCTATTTTGAACCCTGAGGTAGTTATCCCATGTCTTGTAAAACCTGTATATGTTCATGAGACAGAGTTAGAAACAGTTATGCTAATGAGGCAGGAGGAAATGTACAGGATTCGGCCTTATCTTCAGTGAATCTCTTCTGAGATATGTTGTTTTTGTTGTTAAGTGTCGTCCAGTCGATTCTGACCCATAGTGACCCTGTATAGGGTTTCCAAGGAGCTGCTGGTAAGCTTGAACCATGGACCTTGCAGTTCAAACGGCTTTGCAGTCTGGTGCATTAACACACAGCGCCACACCAGGACTCCCTTCTGAGATATTGTTGTTGTTGTTATGTGCCGTGGAGTCGATTCTGACTCATAGCGACCCTGTACAGGGTTTCCGAGGCTGTAAATCTTTACGGGAGTAGAAAGCCTCATATTCTGAGATATAAGAGGGATTAAACAAGTGAGTAGAGGTCGGAGGGATCTACTATCACCAGGAAAGAAGACTCATGAATAAAGCGTGTCCTTTGGACGAGGAGTACCTGCACTGAGGAACTCCTAGATCCAGGGGACGACTGAGGATGAGGACCTTCCCCCAGAGCCGACAAAGAGACCAAGCCTTCCCTAGAGCTGACGCCCTGAATTCCGACTTCTAGTCTCCAAAACTGGAAAAATGGAAAGAAACAACTGCAAACATCCAATAACTGGAACAAAAAATGTACCAAGTGTGAATCTAGGAAAACTGGAAATCATTGAAAATGAAATGGAATGCATAAAGTTCAATATCCTAGGCCCTGGTGAACTGAAATGTATTAACTGAAATGGACTGGTTTTGGCCATTTTGAATCTGACATTCACATGGTTTAATATGCCAAGAATGACAAATTCAAGAGGAATGCTGTTGCATTCATCATTAAAAAGAGCATTTTAGGATCTACCTTGAAGTACAATGCTGTCTAAGATAGGATAATATCCATATGGCCATAGGAAAACCAGCTAATACGACTATTATTCAAATTTGCTCACCAACCACTAAAGCCAGTGATGATGAAATCGGAGCATTCTACCAACTTCTTCAGTCTAAAATTGATCGACATGCAATCAAGATGCACTGGTAATTACTGATGGCTGGAATGTGAAACTGAGAAACAAAAAGGAGGGATCAATAGTCGAAAAGTATGACTTTGGTGATAGAGATTGCATGATAGAATTTTGCAAAACCAGCGACGTACTTATTGCAAATACCTTTTTTTCCCCAACAACATTAAAGGAGACTATACACATGGCTGTCACCAGTGGTAATATAAAGGAAACAAACTGACTATATCTGTGGGGAAAGACAACAGAGAAACTCCATTTCATCAGCCAAACAAGGCCAGGGGCCGACTATAGAACAGACCATCAGTTACTTATATGCAAGTTCAGGCGGAAACTGAAGAAAATTAAAAAAAAAACTTCACAAGAGTGAAAATCTGGGCTTGACTATAACCCACCTGAATTGAGACCATATCAAGACCAAATCTGATGCATCAGACACAAATGGCCAAAGACTAGAGAGCTGTGGGAGAACATTAAGAACATCATACAGGAAAAAAGCCAAATACCATTAAAAAGACAGGAAAGAAAGAAGAGACAGAAATGAACGCCAGCTTGCTCTTGAGCTTAGAGAAATTAATGCAACTCGAAGAAATGAGGAGGCAAAAGAGCTGAACACAAACTTCAAAGGGCAGCTGGAGAAGACAAAGTATTATAATGAAATGCACCAAGATCCGAAGTTCGAAAAACAAAAGGGAAGAGTATGCTCAGCATTTCTCAAGCTGAAAGAACTGGAGAAGAATTTCAAGTCTTGGGTTGCCATATTGAAGGATTCTATGGGCAAAATATTGAATGATGCAGGTATCATTCAATATGATGGAAGAAATACACAGAACCACTGTAT